TTCCTCCTCCTCCTCTTCCTCCTCCTCCTCCTCCTTCTCCTCCTCCTCCTGCCTGGGTGTCTCATAAACCAGATTCTGCAATTGAGCGCATTCACAGGCTGGGTGTCATCATTCATGTTCTCCTATTAAATACATTCACGGGCCAAAGCTCTGGTATTTTAGTTACAGTCTTTTAAAGATAAGAGTTGGAATGTACTTTTGATTTCAACCTGCTGCACTGCTCTTCCAGATTTCCTTCCTCCCCTCCCCCTTTTGTATGGCAACTACTAAAAAAGGCACAGGGATGTTTTATGAGTTGACATGGAGGTTCTCCTAGTGGGATCTCATCCAAGTATTATGCAGACTTAGGACAGCTGGTGTAGGACAGGTGCAGTGGTGGGATTCTGCTGGTTCAGACCAGTTCGAGCGAACTGGTTGCGCCAATGATCAATTGGCCCTGTCCTATCCTGTCCTTTATTTCCTCCTTTGTAGCTCATCTCAATTGTGTGGCACGGCTGATTTACACCCCCACTCACTGTTCTACTTACCATTGCTGACTCAGAAGGTAAGCAGCTGAGCTTCTAAGTGCTCCATTTTCCGCACTGCATGTGCTTCCTGAACTGGTTGTTAAACCGGCAGCATCCCACCACCGGCCAGGCATTCTGGCTGCTCTGCTCAGCCCATTGACTACGCTCTCTCTTTCAAAGGAGAACATCTCTCTGGTCTTTGGAGGTCCACCCCTAGAGCCCCTGAGATGGATGGACAAGTGGAGGCCAGCAAGATGGAGAATTTCCTCCCTTTCTCCTGACCCCACTGAGCGGTGATTTCCAGGTAGCATCTCCTGGGTATCTTGATGTCCAGGGATGGCCCTTCGCCCGTTCTTCTCCAGACCACCAACATAGATTAATGTTGAATCATCAGGTAGGAAGGGACTTTGGAGATCTTCTAATGGAGGCTTCATACCATCCTTGACAAATGCTTGTCCTGTCTCTTCTTAGAAAACTCCAGTAATGGATCACCGAAAACTTCTAGTGACAAGCTGTTCCACTGGTTGGTTGTTCTCACTGTCAGGAAGTTTCTCCTTAGTGCCAGGTTCTCCCCTTGATGAGTGTCCATCTGTGCTTCTTGTCCTGCCTTCAGGGGCTTTGGAGAACAGTTGGACCCCTTCTTCTTTGTAGGCGACCCTCAAAGATTGGAAGACGGCTACCATGTCACCGCAATCATCATCATCTTCTTCTTCTTCTTCTTCTTCTTCTTCTTCTTCTTCTTCTTCTTC